CACACAAATACAGATGTACATATATAAATATCGACTTCGTTGACTTGGTGGATTACAATTTTCACTGACAATAAAGTCTTCCATGTTCTTATTGCAGGTTTGCTGGTATTCAGGATCATGACCTTTGAGCAGTAAAAAAAAATACTACTAGAGGTATTACAGGTGGCTGAGGACTATAATCGCAGCATTTTGGGAAGCTGAGGCGGGTGGATGACTTGAGGTTAGGAGTTGGAGACCAGCCTAGCCAACATGGTGAAACCCTGTCTCTAATAGCAAAACTACAGCCGGGCGTGGTGGCGAGCATCTGTAATCCCAGCTATTCAGGAGGCTGAGGCAGAAGAATCCCTTGAACCTGGGAGGCAGAGACTGCAATGAGCCAAGATCGCATCACTGCCTCCAGCCTGGGCGACACAGCGAGACTTGGGCTTAAAAAAAAAAAAAAAAAAAAAAAACAACACTAGAGATGTTTTTCATTAATCCAAAAGTAGAGGAGAGGGGATACAGGAAAAATACTCCTCCACTATATTGTCAGAGGCTATTAGATAAATGGTTTCTGTAAGTTTCATTGTGTTTATTTACAAAAGTCCTAATTTTCATGGATACCCACTTATTTAATAGTTGAAGCTTAATCTTTTTGAGCTTACATATGAGATTTTTCTTGAGTACTGAGAATAGCAGCCTGAGTATCTCAGAGCAACAATCAAAAGAAACCTGTGCAAATACAACAAAGTGTGAATTGTAGAATCAAAGGGCATATGGGTGTTCATTGTTGAAGTGTTTCCATTTCTCTGTATATTTGAAGGTTTTCATAATAAATTGCTGGAGGTGGGAGGGGAGTCACCTGTAATGATTCCATTAAACCTTGACTTCTTGTGGAACTTTCACAAAGCCACTATTGGGAAAACACATGTGTATCCATGTTTGAAAGTTTATCATTTATAGATATAAAAAAGAAAATGAATAAAGTCTTGTTTTCACCAAATGCAATTTAGAAAAGAGAAATAAAAGGAAAAATCTCCCATAACTTCACTTACTCAGTTATAAAATCTTTTAGTATATTCATGTCTTTGTAACTATTGTGTATATATTTGGCTTTATTAGTTTGTAACCTTTTTAAAATTGCATGTAATTTGTTTAAAGGCTGCATGGTATTCCATCATGTTACAGAAATGCGTTATCAGTGGCAGAGAACCGAGTTACCCCAAGTAACTGGAGACAAATCCGTACACGTTTGCAGCAACTTCAATTTTTGCCTTGTCAAAGGAAAGAATTCGACTGAGGGGCATAAAGCAGAAAAAGAGACCAAGGCAAGTTTCAGAGCAGGAGTGGAAGTTTATTAAAAAGCTTTAGGCCGGGCAGGGAGGTTCACGCCTATAATCTCAGCACTTTGGGAGGCCAGGGCGGGTGCATCACGAGGTCAGGAATTCGAGACCAGCCTGACCAACATGGTGAAACCCCATCTCTACTAAAAATACAAAAATTAGGTGGGTATGGTGGCGTGTATCTGTAATCCCAGCTACTTGGGAGGCTGAGGCAGGAAGATCGCTTGAACCGGGAGGCGGAGGTTGCAGTGAGCCAAGACCGTGCCACTGCACTCCAGCCAGGCAGACAGAGCGAGACTCAGTCTCGGGAAAAAAAAAAAAGCTTTAGAACAGTAAGGAAAGAAAAGAAGGAAATTATTATACAACTTGGAAGGACAAACAAGCAGGCAACTTGAGAAACCAAGAGCGCAGCCTTGGTTTCTTTTTTTCTTTTTTTTTTTTTTTTGAGATGGAGTCTCGCTCTGTTTCCCAGTCTGGAGTTCAGTGGTGTGATCTCGGCTCACTCACCATTCTCCTGCCTCAGCCTCCCGTGTAGCTGCGACTACAGGCACCTGCCACCATGCCCGACTAATTTTTTTGTATTTTGTATTTTGTATTTTTTTTTTTTTTTTTTTTGTATTTTTAGTAGAGACGGGGTTTCACCGTGTTAGCCAGGATGGTCTCGATTTCCTGACCTCATGATCCACCCATCTCAGCCTCCCAAAGTGCTGGGATTACATAGCCTGACCTCTTGACTTGGGGTTTTATACGTTGGCCTGCTTCCAGGATCTACTTCCAGGATCTTGCATTACTTCTCCCCACTCCTGAGATCTTACAGGGAAGCTGCTGATCGGTTTCAGGTGTTTTCTATCTGTTAGGAGCCTGCCTTTTCCCTAGCGCCAGCTGTGGCCAATTACTTTAGACAGTTAACAACCACCTGACCATCACCTGATGGTGGCCCACCACTCCTGGTGTGTGTAGCAGGGAGCCTTCTCCTGCCCTGCTCATACCTAACTACCTATCTACTGTAGCAAATGTACCATACCTAGGAACACTTTATAAAAACAGATCATTGGGACCCACCTTATAAAAACAGATTATTGAGACCCACCTGCTAAAAACGAATCTCCAGGTATGATACCAAGAAATTTGAAATGAAAGTTTATCCTGTGATTGTGAGCCTGTATTTGATCCGTGGATCAAGCAAATTAAATGTGTACTAACTAATCAGGTAAATTAATGCATTTAATAATGCATCAATTAGCATACCTAATTACCTAATTAGTTACTAGCACACGGTTAATTTGCTTGATCCACTATGATCAAATATAGCATTGTTTTTAAATTTTTGCTACTATAACCAGCAATCATAAACATCCTCACAGGTATCTCTCTACATACATAAACAATTATTTTCTGAGAATAATCAAGTGGTTTGTTTGCTTTTTAAAAAATATTTAGGCCGGGCACAGTGGCTCACCCCTGTAATCCCAGCACTTTGAGAGGCCGAGACAGGTGGATCATGAGGTCAGGAGTTTGAGACCAACCTGACCAACATGGTAAAACCCCGTCTCTACTTAAAATACAAAAATTAGCCGGGCATGGTGGCGTGTGCCTGTAATCCCAGCTACTCAGGAGGCTGAGGCACGAGAATCACTTCAACCCGGGAGGCGGAGGTTGCAGTGAGCCGAGATCATGCCATTGCACTTCAGCCTGGATGAGAGCAAGACTCGGTCTCAAAAAAAAAAATTTTAGTGATGAAGGAACTATGGAGTAATTGCCACTCAAGGACAACCCACCTCACCATCATCAGGGAATTCTAGGGGAGACTGGCAGTTACCCAGGGATCCCAGAAGGAATCAACTGGGAGTTAAGAGTCCTAATAACCCCAGAAAAAAACTTTCCAAGATAGAGGTCTTCTCATTCATCTCCATAATCACAGAGGTCTTGCCCAAAAAGGCCCCCCCTTGAATATACAGCTCTGAAATTGGCTAACACCTTCTGCTGTCTCATTCGATTTTAAAGTTCACATCTGTGAAGGGCTCTATTGTATAACATGGTGACTACAGTTAATAACAGTGAATTACAGTTAATAACCTGAATTTCACTGAGAGTAGGTTTGAAGTGTTATCATCACAAAATGTGTATTAGCATTGCTCTTAGCTCATTTAGCCATTACACAATGTATACACATTTCAAAACATACTGCATACCATAAATACATACAATTCTTACTTGTTAATTTTTAAAATAATAAAAGTTCTCATTTGGTAGTTCACGTTATCGGTCCCACAAATTACAATTTTCAGACATCTGCAAAGGCAGCATGTTTTGGTTTAAATGTTGTATTTCTCAATTTTATACATATAAAATAAATGCATAAGTGTATGACATATGCAAAAACTAATATGTAAATTTTATATATATAAAGTCAATGTGCTGGGGGTCACTGGGATGAACGAATTTCAGTGCCTGCAGTCTCATGTTTAAAATCAAAATGGTACAAGGTAACCACCAAAGAAACTGTAAGCCAATGTTTCTCAAACTCAAACCCTTGGACATACTCCCAGAATCCCCTGTAAAGAAATGTATACTGTACTCAAAGTTGAGAACCACACAGGGACCATTTTGCTTTTCTCTCCCACCCAGCACAGGCCCAGTGCTCAGCAGAAATTGGGGCACCACGGTTCTGCCCAGCACTGGGTCACTCCTGAGAAGTCTGCACCAGGCCCTCCTGCACCTTTCCACTGAGCAATGGGGTATCTTTTTTATTTATTTATTTATTTATTTATTGGAGACAGGGTCTCACTCTGTTGCCCAGGCTGGAGTGGCATGATCCAGGCTCACTGTAGCCCTGAACTTCTTGGGATCAAGTGATCCTCCCATCTCAGATACCCGAGTAGTTGGGACTACAGGCACGAGCCACCACGCCTGGATAATCTTTTTTTAAAATGTTTTGTAGAGATGGGGGACTCCCGATGTTGCCCAGGCTGGTCTCGAACTCCTGGGTTCAAGAGCTCCTCCCGCCTGCGCCTCCCACGGTGTGAGCCACCTTTGATCTTATTGCTATGATTTTTTATTGATAAAAACTAATATTCTTAGTCTCAAGAAAGCGTCTTGAAACCATCAAAGGGACCCAGGAGGCGCATCATCACCTGTGCGGCCGATCCCACTCACAGCACAGACTGCAAGTGAGGCTTAAGAGATGAGTGACCTAAGCGAGGTTAAACAGCTAGTCAGCAGCAGACACGGCACTAGAACCTAAGCCTGCTGTCCCAGCTTCGGTGCCCGTGCCCACAGCGAAAGCTGCCGCGGCTCATCCGTAAGAGCGCTGATTAGGGACGACAAAGACGTCATCCCACCGTCCCGGTCCCATTTCCGCCCTCCCAGGTCCCCAACCTTCGAGTCCTCTCCAAGTCGCCTCGCCTCGCTCCACTCTGGACCTTCAAAAGCATTCCACATGCTTTTACCCCAACCCTACTGACTGTCCCGCAAAAAGATGCAGCGGAAAAGGCCCCAAGAAGCGACTTACGCCTCCCCACTGCTCCCCGACACCCGCTAAGACGCTCTCAGTCGCCCAATCCCTATCCAAGCGCATGCGCCCCCGAGGTGGGCGAGTGTCGGTGATGTCACACACAGCGCCATCTCCGATATCCGAGAGTCTGCGACAGCAACTGCCAGTGCGTCATCAGAGCGCGCCGGAAGCGGTCCGAGAATGAAGAGTAAGCGGGGCCACGAAGTTAGAGAGGGTTGGGGATGTTAAGGGTCGGGATCCTGGTGCTTGTGGGTGAAATGGGTCCGGGCTGCCTGTCGCTGCGGAGTCCTAAAGAACCGCTACAGGAATGCGCCCACCCTACATAAAAACTGAGGGCTGGAACACGGGTTAGCCTGGCTCGACCTCTGAGCTAGGGAGGGATGTCAGGGCTGGAGGCAGGTTCTCCCGGGGGCTGCTCAGTGGTGTGCGATGCTAGAGGAGGGTTCCAGGCCTTGGCCCAACTTGGCCACTACCTCCCGGGGTGACCGCAGTCAAGACCCTGCTCCTTTCTGCGAGCTGGTTTCGCACTCTTATCTGATGCAACGCGCCGAGAGCTGCTGGGGAATGATATCACTAACCCAGAGCTTTGGGACTTAGGGGTAGAGGACATGTGCCAAGGAGGGACGTGTAGTCACCGTTAAGACTGGGCCTTCGATCAGAATTTTGATTTTTCACCTCTGCCACTTTGTACCTATATGATCAAGTAGATTGTCTCAGCATGTCGGAGCTTCAATTTGCTCATGGGCACAAGTGTGATGGGAAAAAATATGTCTACCTTTTAATGAGGTTTCTGGCGAGTAATGAGTGTTCAGTAATTGTTAGATGTGTATTGTTGCAGAAAGACTTCCAAGTCTGTTACTAAGCACCTGTAACAGGTGAAGCAAAGTTATCAGGCCCCTCAAGTTGCTCTCTACAGTTTATAATCCCCAACTTCCGCTTGAGGGAGAACTAGATGCTGTATATAAAACTTGCAGCCACATTGGTTTGCTTGATCAAACAAACATACCTGGCTGGGTGTGGTGGGACATGACTGTAGTCCCAGCACTTTGGGAGGCTGAGGCAGGGAGATCACTTGAGGTCAAGAGTTGAAGACCAGCTTGGGCAACAACATAGACCCCATCTCTACAACAACTGGAAAGAAAAAAAAAAAAAAAGCCAGGTGTGGTGGCACACACCTGTAGTTCCAGCTACTCAGGAGACTGAGGTGGGCGGATCACTTGAAACCAGGAGGTCGAAGTTGCAGTGAGCTATGATTGTGCCACTGCACTCCAGCCTGGGCAACAGAGAAAGACCCAATATCAAAACAAACAAGAACAACAGAAAACTTGTAACCACCTTGCATCAGACATTCTCAGGGAAGTACAAGAAAGCTGGAATTAAATTTACAGAGTATAGTGTAAATTACATTTTCTAGCTATTTAGCTCATAAACCAGGCCTTAGTAGTCCCATTCTTACTCCATTCACACCTGTACTGTGTCCCCAGTACCATGGTTTTCTTCTTTCAGTAAATTAAGAAACAGAAGTGTGGAATTTGTTTTAGAGGTTGAAACTTTATTGACTGATGTATATTTTGAGTTTAAAGGAAGAACGGTTGTATTTCATCAGTTCAGGACACCCTTGATTATATGATACATTATAATTTCATATTAAAATGTGAAGAATCTTTTTAAACATCTTACCGTTAACAAAACCTATTTCTAACCATCTACATCCTAGACAGCTATATCATATAACTTTTAAATGAGTTACCTCGTAAGCAAGGGCTCAGGCTTCTAACTTGGGATATTTTAAACCAGTGCAACTCAAAATGTGATCCCCTGACCTGCAGTAGCATCTGGGAATATGTTAGACACTCAGGATCTAGGGTAGGAGACCAATAATCTGTATTTTAATAAGATCCCAGAGATTTTTCCACACATTAAATTTTGAGAAGCACTCTTTTTAAACCATGAGCTTGAAACTTCTAGCATAGATGTGGCCAGAGGGTGGGATAAGAGGCATCCAAGAAAGCTTTGCTCTTCATACCAACCTGATCTCCTATCTCTGAATATGAATAAGCATATGTTATAAGTGTAGTTCTTTTTTTTTTTTTTTTTTTTTTGAGACAGAGTCTCTGTCACCCAGGCCAGTGCAATGGCATGATCTCGGCTCATTGCAGCCTCCACCTCCTAGGTTCCAGCGATTCTTTTGCCTCAGTCTCCCATGTAGCTGGGAATACAGGTGTGAGCCACCACCTCCGGCTAATTTTTGTATTTTTAGTAGAGACGGGGTTTCACCACGTTGGCCAAGCTGGTCTCGAACTCCTGACCTTGGGTGATCCACCCGCCTTGGCCTCCCAAAGTGCTAGGACTACAGGTGTGAGCCATGCATCCAGCGGTGTAGTTATTTTCATAGTTAGAGAAGTCTTGGGTCTTACAGCCATACCCAACAAGAATTGATCATTTCTTGTTTTTAATCCCCTAGGTGTGATCTACCATGCATTGTCTCAGAAAGAGGCGAAAGACTCTGATGTCCAGGTCAGTTCTTGGCAGGAGGTCCAGGAGCAACAGAGGTGATGGCAAAGATGGCTCAGTAGCTTCTGAGCCCCTGTCACTGGTTGAGATGTCGTTACCCACATTGTACTCCTCATTTTTCTGGCAGACATCTAAGGCTGGATCAAAGTCTGTAGTTCTGATGACCTGTTCCCACTTGCCGGCCTCCTTTTCTGTTGTGCCAAAGTCAAGTTTGGTAAAATGAGGCTTTTCTTAACCTTTTATCATTCCCACTATGTTGGGGACACCAGGCTGTGCCCATGTGGTGAGCAGCATCGTTCAACCTTGTCACTGTGCCCTCTGCACTTCTGCAGAAGGTGTGCAATTACATATCATAAGTGAAATTGACAGATTATATCTGGATGCCTCGGCCTGCTTTGTCAGTTTCACAAAAGTTCCTCTTGTAACTCATAGTGAGAGCATTACCTTGAAAGCAAGATTTTGAAAGACCAGTATGCCTTTATTTTACTTCTCCGTGAAAGACGAGGAACTCAGGTATTTAAGAGAATCAGATCATTGTCCTATTATAGTCACAATGATGAGAGTGAATTAATTTTTAGTTAGCATCTACAGGTGCAAAACTGAAGCAGACAGAGTTCCCACCATCATACCGTGAGCTCCCTCGAAGGCTATGTGTACCCTATCTTCCCATCCCCATTGCTCTCCCACAGAGGGAGGGCTGGGTTACTAATGACAGATCAGCATCAGTCTGTCAGCCTCAGTCTTAGCATTTAGCACCTGGCTAGTGCAAAAAGCTCAGGAAACAGCCCAGCCAGGAGACAGGCCCTTAGGAGAGAGAACTGCCCAGGGCTGTGGCAGGCGCGAGGGCAGCGGCATCTGCCACCAAATGAGGAATCCATTATTGGAACTCCAACTTGAGAGGTAGTGAGCTTGGAGGTTTTTGCTTGCTTGTTTGTTTGTTTGAGAATTGCACACATTTATGACAGTCATTTTTTCAAAAGTCCTCTCTAAGAGCCTACGCTCATTCATGGTAAGTTGACGCCCGGCTCTCAGTGACGCCCTTTGGAGAGAGAGAGTCTGGGGCCTGAGATGCTCTTGACGGTACTTTCCTCCAAGTGATGGTCTGCGGGGCAGGAGCAGACCTCTTGGAGAGTAGCCACACCATGCCCACATTGCTGGAAACCCAGTTGAGGAGTATTGTCCCAAGGGCACAGTGTCAGGGTCCCTACCCCCTGAGGCTTGGCTGACCCTGGAGCCCTAGTTTTGCTGTTTTGTGTAGTGTTAGGATCACTTCCTCCATAGCTTAGTGCTACTCTGAGCTCACTTAGTTTCATCTGGTCATGCCTGGTTGAATATCTTTGTTACACATTTCTCAAGCTTTCTCTTCTGCCAAGAATGACTGAAGTGTTCTTCCAGATAGAAAGGTTTTGGTCCTCATCAGAATAACCTCAGAAAAGCAGGGCCAGAGCAGGAAGTGAGCGTTTGACATGCTGTTGTGTGTAACAAACGGTCATGAATTTGTGTGTGAGTGTGACTTACATCTGGGCAACTGTGGGTAGCAGACGCATGGCAGATGAGCGGGGTGTGAGCCTCAGTGGGTGGAGGGATGGGCCCCATCTGCTCTCCCAGTAGCTGCGGGCGATATGCCTGGGATCCTGGGCTGCCCAGACCAGAGCAGTGAGCACTCCACCCCCTTGTCGGCCTGCAGCCTCCAGGAGCACAGCGGGCCGAGGCCTTCGTGAGGGCCTTCCTGAAGCGCAGCACACCCGGCATGAGCCCGCAGGCCCGCGAGGACCACCTGCAGCGCAAGGCCGTGGTCCTGGAGTACTTCACCCGCCCCAAGCGCAAGGAGAAGAGGAAGAAAGCCAAAGGCCTCTCTGCCAGGCAAAGGAGGGAGCTGCGGCTCTTTTATATTAAACCAGAGCAGCAGAGGTAACCTGAGCTCCCCCAAGTCTTTCTGCCCGCGGTGCTTACCCTTCTGGGTGTGTGGACTTGACTGAGTCGCTGGGGAGGCAGCCTGGCTCCACCTAAGCTAAGGGCGCCTCTCTGTTGTCTGCCACAAGAGGGCAGCCTTCCTTTACCAATCTGGGCTGTGTTCAGCGAAGTGGGTGAGACAGGACTCATTGTCTGGCCTTTCTCCTCACCTTCACGAGTAAGACCCGTCCAAGTACATCTGTTGTCCATGGCAACAGGCTGTTTGTCCCTCGGCTTTGTTAGACAGAAAAGAGGAACTGATATGTTTTTAGTGTGTATCACTTTGTAGCTTTTAATAGCGCCAGACAGTCACCCACTGGGGTTTCATTGCCAAAGCAAGATGTTGCCCACACGTTTCAGAAGTTTCCCAAAGGAATGCATCACTGTCCTGTCCTGTGGGAGGATGCCTTCCTCCAGCCAACCCTCCATCCCTCCTTGGCGACGGGTCTGAGTGTGCGTGTCCTGGGGCTGTCTGTAGGTTTTTGCTTGGAGATCGACAGCCAAATAGCCTCCCACACTCCAGAAGACGCTTAAAGTATGCCACGCTGTCCCCGGCCCCACTCAGGAGATCAGCTGGGCCTCAAGTGGAGAAGGGGCTGCTGCCTCCCAGAGTTTGCCTCTCGGGTGGAACCCGAGTTGGGTTTGAGCTTAAGGTCCTCATTTCTCTAACCTAAGGCTTCATGGTAACGGATTCCCCACAAGGCATCAAGACTGGAGATAATGGCCCAGAGGAAAGCTGTTGGGGTCCTCACCCCTGCTCCCCTCTTCTTCTCCCCACCACTTGCTTGCCCACCTTCCAGACCAGCCTGCTGCCTCACATGAGGACCTGCGTGACAACCAGCAACCCCTGCTTTATTGGGGGCTTACTAGGTTCAATTTCACGTAACAGAAAACCTCACAATAACAGTAGCTTCAACAAGACTCACATTTATTTCTCTCTCATGAAAAGAAGTCCAAGTGGACACCGCCCTGGGCTAGTGTGGTCCTACCAATGAGGAAACTGAGGTTAGAGAGGTGAAGGTTCTTGGTCTCTGTTACCAGCTCAATTGCTCATCCTAAGATTTGCACGTAGTTCCTAATGATCCCAGGCCGCAGTTGTTGGCATCAAGCCAAGCTCTGTGCTATTTGGACATTGTCATCCCAAGCTCATGATGTCTAACTTTTTCCGTTTCTGACTCTGCCACAGATACAGTCTTTTCCTCCCTCTCCATGAACTCTGGAAACAGTACATCAGGGACCTGTGCAGTGGGCTAAAGCCAGACACGTAAGTTGCATTCCTGAAGCTTCGCTCTTTGGGGTGGATCTCAAGTCTCTGATCATTGTAAATGCAGCTTCAGGAGCCAGCGTTGGTATTGCCTGGCTATGGTTGAAGACCTAGTTGCTTCTTTTGGAACTTTTTATCATGATGTAAATCAAGGGCTTCTGTTTACCTTGCAGGCAGCCACAGATGATTCAGGCCAAGCTGTTAAAGGCAGATCTTCACGGGGCTATTATTTCAGGTAATTTACCTAAGAGCGTGTAGCACATGGCCACCCGGAGGTCCACACTGTCGCTCTGTGGAGACCCAGGGCGTGTGTTCTGCTGGACACGCTCCTTACCGTGTGGATTCCCTGAGATGGGCCCCGGTCACCATCATCTCCGCACTAAGGGTGGGAGATGCTTCTCACTGGCTGTCTTAGCCTGTCTGGCCATTTGCTGGACATACCCTAAGTGGTCTCCGTGTACCTTCTCCACACAGGGACCCCTGTTGGTACCCTAAAGGGCACAGTAGCTGTGGGCACTCACCCATGGCCTGGAATTGTGAACACAGAATCCCTTTCATCCAATGCTATGGTTTCAAATGTCAGCTACACCTGACAGCCCCCAAGGTGACGTCTCCAGCGTAGGCCCGTCCCCTGAACTCCAGGCTCAGGCATCCAGCTGCCCACTTGACACAGCCACCTGGATGTTCAGGGGGCATCTCAGACTTTACATAGCCAAAGCTACCCCCAGTTCTCACAGCAACCCCTCCTGCTCTTTTCCATCTCAGTTAATGACTCAGTTATTTACGCTGGTTGTTCAGGCCAAAAACCGAAATAGTGTCTATGTTTCTTCTTTCCTAATCCCCTCCTCTAATCCTTCGGAACATCCTACTACCTAAATTCAGCCACTGTCATTCCCCACATTACCTCAGACACAGCTCCTCCCTGCACCAGGCAGCCGGAGTGCCGGTTATATAGAAATCAGAGCACGTTCCTTCCGTGCTTCAAGTCTTCCGGCAGCGTCCCATCGTATGGGAGTAAACCTGCCTCCTTGCTGTGGTCGAAGGCCTCCCCGCTCCCTGGGGCAGCAGGCCTCCCACACTGCCTTCCTCCTGCCCTGCCTCAGGGTTTCGCCTCTGCTCCTTACCTCTGCCGGGGGGTTCTCCTGTGTGTGCACAGACCCACTTCTGATTGTTCAGCCCTGCTCCAATGCCACTCCCCTGAGGGTCTACCATTGCGAACCATGACCCTCCACACTCATTGCCCTGTCCCTACTCTTCATAGCACTCGTCGCTGTCAGAAAGTAGAATGGTGTGGTTCACCATGCATCACCCTGCCTTGCTAGAACCTGGGCTCCGTGAGAGCAGGATCCGGGACTGCCTCTTTCCATGCTATGTCCCTGGCATCTCCCGAGGACGGTGCAGGCATACTGCAGCTGCTTGGTGACTCTGTCACCTACACTGAGGCTCGGGTCAGGACGAGGGAGGGGCTGCTGCTTGTGATGGTGGCTCGTCTCGCAGTGCTGGCTGCTGGGCAGCTCTGCAGCAGGACTCACATTCCAGCCAGCATCCTGGGCAGTGCATGGTGGTGTTTGTGCAGATCCTGCAAGGGAGTCCTGGCTGCATCAGAGCAGCCAGCCCGTGGGTCCTGATGGTGCTGGGCGCGTGTGTGACCTTTGACTCCAGAATCCTGCCCAAGACTGCTGTGGCCACAGACTCTCCGAAGGACACCTCATAGGACACTCCAGAGACTGCAGAGCCCCAGGGCAAGCCTGGATTCTCGTTGGCTACGTCAGTGCCCAGCTGTTGAGCCCCCACACCCTGGGTGCTGTCTTCCTTCATCTGCTAGCTCAGAGGGTGGGACCAGCACCCTGGACCCCTGAGGCCTGCTTGTCTGTGGTTCCCCCAGCACCACAGAGGCCTGAGCCTGGAACTGTCCTTTTTCTTCACAGTGACAAAATCCAAGTGCCCCTCTTATGTGGGTATTACAGGAATCCTTCTACAGGAAACAAAGCACATTTTCAAAATTATCACCAAAGAAGACCGCCTGAAAGGTATGTAGGAGTTTCCGAGGGCGTTGCGTGTGGGCTGTGGCTTCCAGCTACTGCGTTAGCCTTTTCCTCGAGGCTCCAAGGGTTTGGTTTGAGCACTGATTGCAGATACTTACTGAACCTGCATTAAAGCCTGCAGAGACCACCCTCTGCTCCCGTGGCGCCCCCAAGAGGCGTGTGTCAGTGCAGCCAGCGGCCCCAGCCAGAAATGGCCAAGCGGAAGAAAGATCTTGGCCATGCCTCAGGGGACCTGGGTCTGTTTGGGCGCCAGGAGAGGGCCTCCACCTGCCCCAAGGCTGCTGCTCCCAGAGGAATGTAGCCAAACAGGCAGCAGGGTAGAAACAGGAGCGGCGCCTGTCCCTGAAATTCTGAGCCGTGTCCTTGGTGATAACACTTGGGTTCCATCGGTGGCCAGCATTGCTCCAGCAGATACTTTGGGTCTCCCAGGATTTCTACACCCCACCTTGCTCACAAATCCAGAGATAACAAACTGTAGTTAGAGGGTTTTGTTCCTTTAATTTTTTTATCTTTATTTATTTATTTTGTTTTATTTTTTTTTTTTTGAGACAGTCTCGCTCTTTCACCCAGGCTGGAGTGCAGTGTCACAATCTCAACTCACTGCAGCCTCCGCTCCCGGATTCAAGGGATTCTCCTGTCTCGGCCTCCCGAGTAGCTGGGATTACAGGCACGCGCCACCACACCTGGCTAATTTTTGTATTTTTAGTAGGGGCAGGGTTTCACCATGTTGGACAGGCTGGTCTCAAACTCCTGAACTCAAGTGATCCGCCTGCCTCAGCCTCCTAAAGTGCTGGGATTATAGGCGTGAGCCACTGCATCCAGCCTTCTTCCTTTAATTTTTGAGCTTGGTTTTTCTTGTTGCTTCCCTTATTTTCCTACATATCCTTCTGCCTCACATTGTAAACCTCAGAAAGTGGTGTAAGAGTTTCCCCACAGAGCACAAGGCCAGGAGCCCATCTGAAAGTTATTGTGGGAAAACCAGTTTCTGGCGGGTGTTCTGGGACTTTCTGGTCCTGGGAATTTGGTGTATAGCCTTTTACCCTGAAGATTAGGTGCCAAGTTACATTTAGCATGTGACTAGATGGACCTGTGGCAGAATAACCACATGTAACCCTAATGCCCCTCCCCTTGCGGGTTTCCCATTTCCTATTAGCTTATTTTTTTCATTCAATGTGTTCCGAATAATATTCTACCTAAAAGTAAAATATTAATAAATAAATAAATGAATATTTACTGCCAAGGATTTTTCCTCATCTTTTTTCTCCCCCCACTTTTTTTTTTTTTTTTTCCAGTTATCCCCAAGCTAAACTGTGTGTTCACTGTGGAAATCGATGGCTTTATTTCCTACATTTACGGGAGCAAATTCCAGCTTCGGTCAAGTGAAAGGTCTGCGAAGAAGTTCAAAGCGAAGGGAACGATTGACCTGTGAATTCTTTGCCATCTAACGCAGTTGTTTATGACAGCTGAAAACTGGACACTCCTAAATGCCAACCTTTCAGTGAAGAGATGGTTAAGCCAATTCGGTTTATAGACCACCTCCAGCCAGTGACGTGTTCTGGGTTGAGGATGCTCAACAACATGGGAAGGTCGCGGTGTACCGAGTGACGAAGTCAGGGGACAGAGGAATTTCTCTTTCTAGGAGATCTTCATTTTGTGTGACTCCCATGGAGAGGAGCAGACTGGCAAGAAGCACACCGGGGTTAACGCTGGTTGACTTAACTAGTATCACTCGATTTTAAAAAATACTTTTCCATGTTTTCTGAGTGCTCTATGGTGAATCAGCTGCGTCTGTGATAATACAGTCCACATGTGGACATAACCAGGGATCAGATAAAGGAGGTATTGCTGCAGTCCAGCCAGGTTGAAAGGGAAGGGGGGCCCCAGAGGTCCATTGGATGGCAGGTGTCTACAGAGGTGCGCCTTTGGGTGGAACTCTTGGACCTACCTGAGGTTTACTTTGCTATTTCAGGAAGGTTGAAGAGGATTGAAGGGTGAGTTGCTAAGTGACTTAGGGCTTATTCACTTCAGGAATTGCAGCTGGGGTGGACCCCAGGAGCAGAGCACTGTGTGCAGCTGTGCCCATACACGGTCGCCCCAGCATAGTGAGATGGGACCTGCCACAGCGTGCCCGCTCCTGAGCTGCCAGGCTGAGCCGTGGAGGACTGAAAGGAGGTCGCCTGGCATCACCTCCCAAGGTCAGACCTGCAAAAGCCACGCCAGCAGCATTGACGCCCTTTGATCTCTTTGCCATTTTTGCTGCTGAAAGACTTGGCTTTTCAGTCTGATTCTGGCCCTCTGACGGTGTGTCTGTAAAGCCAGTGGGTCAGGCAGGCCCTTCCATGCAGGGCCAGAGGAAGAGCGGGCCCAGGGCTGCAGTGAGAGTGGGCCAGGAGACCAGCCTACCAGATGGGTTAGAAACATGGCTCAGAAGGACCAACTACCCCTTCCCTTTGAGGAGCAAGTATCTGCCGATCAACAAGGCAAGGCCAGGAGCCCTCCTGGCGAAAGGCAGGCCACAAATCTTTTCTCCCCCAGGAGAAGCAGCAGTGCTGGGGCTTTGTGTTCCTGTTGCCTTCCACCCAGACCACACCAGAGAGAAACACCGCGGTGGAGAAGAGAAGTGGGAATGCTGACTGCTGTGTGCCAGGAGACCAGAAAGGCCCAGGTCTCTGCCGCTGCCCCTCCCCAAGGCTCACAATGCACCCAGAGTCTCACAGGGACCAACCCGGTGCCTCGGTCCTGCTTCCATTGGTGCAGGTGTCCGCTGCTCACCAGGGTGTTCTGAGGTGGCTCAAGTGCTCTCCCCCAAGCAGCACGCAGTCACCGCTGCCAGTGATGCACACACGCACGGGCTAGGGACACGGGACCCGGCCCAGCGACTGCCTTGTGGTGTGGCCGTCCTTGTCTACCTTAGGAAGACAGAATTCAAGGGACCCCTTGCCCAAGGCCTCGCTGACTCAAGGGCAAAATTGAGATTTGGACCTAATAGTTGGGCTCCAGAACTGTGCTTTCAGCTACAGGGTGGCTGCAGGATGAGACGGATGCGGTTCTAAAGTGCAGGATGTGCTGCCTTTATTACCTGCTTTCCCTCTGAGCAAATCCCTGTCTTGAGTGGGAAGTGGCATCTATTCCCCCAGCCGTCTGAAAGTGCAGCGTTCATAACCGAATAGGTGCTGTAGCTTTCTAGCCATCCCGCTCTTACCCACCCCTCTGCAATGTAAAAGACGTCCACTGTTGTGTAAATACACAGTTGCTTTCCAGAAAAGTTGTTGGTACTGCTTGCCATGTGAAATCTGTTTTTCATTTGGCGCAGACTCAAGTTTCTGTGTGAGTGGCTGTTTCATTTGTAGATATCACTCCCTCTCCCCCAAGGAGACGTGGCAAAGGTGCTCGCCGGCCACAAAGCTGCCGCTGTGCCTGCCTGTTTCTAGGACACACTGTTGCCCCCATGGTCTACCCAGGGGCCATGTCATCTCCCAGGTAGAGGGGGGAAAGGGGAGGGCCCAGCCCGGCAGGACATGGTTCCTGATGAGAAACAGCTGCAGAAAGCATGACCTGAGGCCCAGGGGCAGGGGCAGGGGCCAGGGCTGCCATGTCTCCATAGACTGCGGCACAGCTTGTCATGGAGGGTGATGTGGTACTCTTTGGCCCGATCTCTCCCATGTCCACTGTCCAAGGAGCAGGACCCTGGCAGAGCTGAGACCTTGGCCATGTGGTCTCGTGGGAAATAGAGCCACATTCTCCTCGTGTAAGCCTCCGTGCACCAGAGAAAGTGCCAAAGAGGAGAGAGAGAATGGTTAGCAACTCAGGACAGGACCCAGAGGCTGCAGGACTGGGAGACATCAGCCCAGCGACCCACTGTTCAAAGAGTGGGGCCCAGGGGCCCTTTACATCTCCCCAGTGCCCAGCTGCCACACACGGTCTGCAGAGGATAGGCCAGAGCCTCGGGGGAAAGGATGAGGTGCTTGGAGGAGAAAGGGCAGTGTGGACCATGGCTGATGTATCCGTCTGCTCTAATCTCCATCACAAAATGCCACACGCTGGAGCTGCAGCATTTTCTCACAGCTCTGGAGGCTGGAAGCCAAAGATCAAGGTGCTGGCAGGGTTGGTTTCTGGGGAGGCCTCTCCCTTCTTGTCCTCACACGGCCTTTCCTCCCTGTGTGCAAGGAGAGTGATCCCTGGAGTCTTTTCCTTGTAGAAGGATGCCCGTCCTATTGGATTAGGCCCCTATTCTTATGACCCCCTGAAAGTCTCTATCTCCAGACAGTCACACTGGGGGCAAGGGCTTTGTCATATGAATTTGGAGACCCAAGTCAGTCTACTGCCACCCCGAAGCTGTCCCAGCCAGGACAGACTGGTTGTGCCTCCCAGAAAGTCTCCAACAGTCACCTGGCTCCCATCCTCAGACACTGACCTGGCCTTCTCGTCCCCCCATATGGGCTGCTTGGACCACTAGCCAGTGCAGCCACCCCCACTGCTGGCCCCTGAACTGCCATCACCACTGGATTCTGTGACATGCTCATACAGGAACTTGGGTCCAGGGCTGCTGCCTCCAGTACCCAGGGCTGCCCAGTGCCCCTTCATTTTTGCAAACAGCTGAACTCCTCCTCCCGCTGGGGCCAGGCACAGTCTGGATGGGGGAGGAAATGCGTGCACAGGTGGGCAGGATGGGCAGAGAGGTCTCCCTGGAGCAGGGACTCCAGCTCTGGGCAGCTGTGGGTGTGAAGAGTGTATTCACATCAAGGCTCAGGGCGGGAGTCCGCGGAAGCATCGTGGAGGACCCAGGAAGGCAGGGGAAGCCTGCGAGGGTCTGCCCCCAGGCTCAGGCAGGCAGGAGGAGAGGCCAGAAGGGGTATATGGCTGCCAGGAGTGGAGAGATGGCAGAGATGCTGGAAAAGCCCTAATCCATGGGGCAGGAGGTGGAGTTCTGCTGATCCATTCATGCAGTTCTGAAGTCTTGGGGATCTTGGTGCTGCCATCTGTGAAGTGGGGCCATTAGACTAGACCCAGCATTCCTGGAATGGCATCCTGGAACTTCCCACATCAGAGTTAGTGGGTGCACATTCAGAGCAGCCAGATCCTGGGCTGCACCTCAGACCCACTGAATCAGCCTCCAGAGGCGGGACCCAGACAGCTGTGTGTTTACCTGAGACCCCAGCTGATCACTGATGTTTGAGGACGCTGGGCTCCAGATGGTGTGTAAAATCTCTTCCAGCTCTGAGGTCTGGACTGTGATTTCAGACTTGGGACTCTCAGGCCGACGTTTCCTGGAGGCTGGTAAAGATCATCAAATGACTGATCTCCCAGGTTCCGAAGAGTAAACAGGAACATCCCTCCACAAAGCCATAAATTCTGTAAAAAAAAAAAAAAATTGCTTTCTGGACAATGCCTTTATCTTTAATTTAGTTTGCATTTCTTAGCTATAATGTCTAATTAAGACATCTGTTAAATGTCTATAATATTAGTTTAATAGAAGGGGTTCTAATAGAACCGTATTGGAATTGTCCATTTAATTAACCTCGTGGGCCTTTAATGGATGTCTTAAATAGACATCATTAACAAGAGTGCTAGACAAATTAAAATTAGAGTCAATAACATTCTTGGTAATTTTTCCTGAGCTGTGAAGGGCAAGCCTTGCTAACTAGACAGGCGCAGAGATAGACAGGAGGGCGGGCACTGCTGTCCTGGAGAGCATCTGAAAGGGACAGGCCCCACAGACAGGCGCAGAGATAAGCTGTGTTCACAGGAGGGCAGGTGATGCTGTCCTAGAGGGCATTGAAATGGACAGGCCCCAAGTGGGATTCAGCTATTCTGTGTCTTGGTCTGCTTTGCCCAAAAAAGATAACCTCCAGCCACAGGAGGCAGGTCTCAGAAGCAAACACCTGCCCTTCCCTATGCCTTTTACAGAAAATGTTTGCTGGGTCAGGCATGGTGGCTCACGCCTATAATCCCAGCACTTTGGGAAACTGAGGCAAGAGGATTGCTTGAGCCTGGGAGTTTGAGACCAGCCTGGGCAACATAGCAAGACCCCATGTCTACAAAAAAACATTTAAAAATTGAGCTACGCATGGTGGTATATGCCTATAATCCCAGCTACTCAGGAGGCTGAGGTGGGAGGATCACTTGAGCCCACGAGGTTGATGTTGCAGTGAGCCATGATTGTGCCACTACACTCCAGCCTGGGTAACAGATGAGACCCTATCTCTTAAAAAAAACAAGAAAGAAAGAAAAAGAAAAGGTGGCCTGATCCATCAGAGCTCTTGGAGGAGGGACTGGCTTAGGAGAGAGATGGAGGAGGATAGAGGACCTCACCCAGAGACTCATGAAACGCCGGATAGATGCACGGACTGGGTGAGATGCAACAGGATTGGATAGGGAAGGATTGGCTGGGACAGGCCGGGGATGAAATAGAAAACATTCCATTCTTTTGCCTCCACCGCTCCACTAAGCCACTCTCACTCAGGTGACTGTGTCTCTTCAGAGCCAGTGGTCAGTTCTCCGCCTCTGCCTTGCCTGGCTTCTTATCGCCATTTAACACCTCTTATCCCCCACACTCCCGACTTTCCTCCTGCCTCCCTGGCTGCTCCCTCTCGGGGTCCTTTGGGAGCTCCTCCTCTGCAGAACTTCTCAGTGATAGAATGCCCTGAGCTCCGCCTTTGGACTTCTTTCCCTATTCCCTCTATAGCTGTCTCGTCCACAACTTCAGATCCGCCAGACCCACATGTGCAACTTGGTTTACCATCTGCCTCCTGCCAGCTAGAATGGAAGCTCCTAAGGACAGGACTCTGTTTTCCTCACTGCCATACCCACACTCATCCAGAGTGTATCTGATTGTATTCAGCATTCTGTG